AATATACGCGCAACCTCTATATAAATAGAGTATTTTTTTCGTCTCCTTGAGGCCACCTTTCGTACATTCGATTTTCCATTTTTCGATTACGCAACATCCACTTGCATTTCCGTTGGTTGACAAACAACCATTTTGAATTGTTAGTTTAGTTAGCGTTTTCGTATTTTCATCACCCTCTTTTTTTCTTGTCGCGCCAAATCCGTTACGTAACTGTTACTACAATATATGGCCCGTAACCTAATTCCTCTGTGGAATTAGTTTCAATTTTTAATTTCACTTTACATGCCAAATTCCAACAAAAACACACACATGCGCAACGCTGTCAAAATTTGCTACCTATARATCTACTATATGCTCACACACACATAGCGTGGGAGGTCAGCAAAGCTCAAAGTCTAGCTATGAAAAATTGTTTGAAATTCGCAAAAGCTGGACCAATTAATGTCTATGGACCGCCACTATTATAAGTTTAGCCAGCTATGTGCTACTTACATATATAGGGTGCTCTTTTTTAGTGGTTTGGTATTTCAGTAAAGTAAAAATCAATGCACGAATTTGCTGTGAAGCTTCGTGGACACCTAAAAATTTTACAGATGTCCATGGTCACACCATATGAAGAGTGAGCGAGTGAAAAATTATTATACTCACAATTGAAATGTGCTTAAAAATAGTGAAAAAAATGTGCCAACACTCGCATTTCGTGAGGCGAATTTACAGCGAACTTTGTACAAATTTGAGATGGCTGTCATTTCTAACCTGACGGACGGGTAGGTAAATAACAGGTTCATTGAAAAAACCCCAGCCTGACACATAGATGACGCTACTAGAACTAAATTCATTAGCTTGAATCTTCAATGCGCGAATATAAATGACGGATCATATAAATCGGATCATACCTTATGCGAATCATTTTGTGAGAAGCAACTTTGATTATTGTAAAAAAAAAAAAAATGGATTTTGGGGAAAAAAAAAAAAAAAATTGTTATCGACGAAAACATCAAAAAAGTGCGCAAAATAATTTTGGATGAAAGTAAAGTGAAGTGGTTCGAGATAGCAGGCACTCTAAAGATAACGACTGAACGTATACATCATATCAATCACGAGTATTTGGGTATGAGAATGCTCTGTGAAAAATGGCTGCCAAGCGAGCTCACTTTTGACTACAAAATAACGACGCATTGATGATTCGGAGCAATGTTTGGAGGTGTTTAAGCATAAGTTAGTACAAGTTTTTGCGTCGACACGCGACAATAGATGAAACCTGGCTCCTGGAATATTTTTTATTGACTACGTTAAGAAACGAAGGACCAACAACAGTGACTATTACAAATCGCCGAAAAACGGCCGCATTTGTAGAAACTGAAAGTGCTGCTTCACCAAGACAAAAATCCATTAATTGAACTTGATGGGCAATTCAACCATATTTTCCAGATCTGGACCCGAGCGACTATTTTCTGTTCTCGGATCTTAAAAGAATGCCCGATGAGAAGCAATTTTCATTGAATGAAGAGGTGATCGCCGAAACTGAGGTATATTTTGAAGTAAAGAACAAATCGTGCTACCAAAATGCTAACGAAAAGTATTCGATCGGATTGCTGTAATCAGTACATCATCCGTGGATCGAACTATGTTGAATAAAATTAAAAATTAAAATAAATTAAATGTTAATAAAATAAAACATGTTGTGGCAAAACAGGAATGTGTTCTACTATGGTAGGCCGGGAATTTTTCAATTCGGCTATTTCCAGAGGTTCGCCTAAGATATGACTCTCAAACTACTGCACTCTCAGTCTTGTCAAAGGAGAATGGTGCAGAAAGTGCTGGATGTTTTCATCTTTTCCGAATAATTGTGACAGTTAAACCTTACCGCATCCGCGCCCGTTGGGTTACATTGCCCTGAACTAGGATTACCACAAGTTGAATTATTATAGAGAGCGAGTGGTTCAGTGGATCGCCGGATCACGCAGTCAGGTAGGAGCTAATTGGTGATCAATGCTAGCCAAACTCATCCAAAGTCCAAAGATCTAGTAGCACATACGAATTTTCTATATCGATATCAATCATTCAAGCGGAAAATAGTATCAACAGAACAAATAGTTCAAGAACCCTTACAAAACGTGAACACATCATTTGGCGAAGCCGATCTTCTGAAACAAGTATCTTGCCAAGAACTGACATTGTTAATTAAGCATGTAGTTGAAGAAATTAGACTGTGTTGTCAATAGTTCATTCCATTAAGATTCGTTGAAGTCCTAGCGATAGTTTTTCTTCGAAACATTATCTAAAAACGCTTAACTTTGAGAGTGAATAGTTTCAAGTTCATCAAGAAATCGTGACAGGTGTAGTAATTTTATCTAATTAATATCTTAGCGTTTTGTAACATTTGACGGATCTTTTTAAATTATTTCATTTCAGTCGAACAGTCGACTAGAATTTACTATATATCTCGCATACTGAAAGAGTTCTCGTCGAAGTAATGTTCTATTAGGAGTTTTTGCTCTGAAGCATACAATAGGGATACGTTTTAGAAAAGCATAGATGGCGGAACCAAAATCTGGGTTAGTAGAAATACTGTCACTAATCGCTAAAAATAGTTTTCAAAAACSATGGATCGCTTAYRAATTCCACTTTGTCCAGCGAGTATTTTTTACTTATCTACTTTCTTTGTAATAAACTGCCATACGATTTTTTGGCATACAGCCAGATCTGACTGGCTTCGGTTGTTAGCAGGCATAAAGGTGGTGATCTATTGGACACAACGATCAAACAGATCAAGTAGAACCACCACTCTCTTACTCTGCTTTTCGTGAAGTACTGTGATATAGCCCTGAACGCCTAGCTTAATGCATTTTTCTTTTCCTTTTTAAAAACCAGTTCGACCTAATAACATGTACATATGTATCTATATAGAGAATTAACAATTAAAATGGGTTAACCTTCTCGCTGCATTGCATGTGTATTGTGTATGTGTGCGAATGAGAAATTGCCACTGATAAGGTGTGTGTATGACGGCTTTTTTCAATTAGCCACCATTTAATTGAATGCCAATATTGAAATAAAATGTTGAGTTCATMGTTCCATATCTCAATGCACACACACAATCACAAGCGCATTCACTTTCTCTTTATTCTACATCAACAAAATGCTGCCAATGCACATAGTTCTGACGAAAGCGCATAAAAGGCGACTAAAAGATAGACATATACATATTATATATGTAAGGCAAACAAATACATACAAGAGGTACTATATCAATACTTTAAGGCCACAAAGGCCGAAACAATATTGCAAAAGTATATTCGGATAGGCGTAAGTTGCATGTGTATTCACTTTAACAGTGGAACGCCGACTGATATTGCTTTTATATATTTAAAAGATATTTATATAAATTAACGTAAAATACCATTTTAAATATCTGGTACTGTAGAGAATTTGATAGAGTTATAATGAAAAGCGCTGATGCTTAAGAAAGCTCTTCAAGTAATGTSCAGTTCGGAATTTCGCTTTATTGAACGTCTTATTTAGAAAATCCATAGTCTAGAGATTCCTAAAGACAAATTATGTTCTACTAGGAYAAGGCMAGACCACATCGATAGTGGGTCGACWRAAGTTMYTGGCTCGCMYGTGRGKCCCATGTAAAAGCAATGAACTGAGAACCATGTTATCCTCCCACCTTTAAATTCACTCGTTATAATCTTTGATAGTTATTCTCGCATTGTTTGCCGAGTTCTTCAAATATTGGTCGACTACAAGAAGCTGGTTGAGCTTTCAAACCCGATTCAAACTTGTTCGTAATTGGAAATATTATATCTGTTACGCGCTCTCTTTCAAGCATAATTTTAGACTACTGGATCGTTGTAGTCTTTTCAAAGCAGGCAGAAGGTGTATTACCCAGAAGTACAGCCTTTTTGAGGGAGTGGAAGAACGGCAATACGAGCTTTGAACTCATTCATTGTTCGCCCCAACTTAGTTAAAGAGCGTCGATAGCATCAAGCTATTTTGTTATCAGACTCAGGCATAGCGGAATCAGAGTGAGAACGAGTAGACTATATGTTGCCCTCTTGCGTTCCAATGTTGAACTTCTGAAATTTGCGTGAGCTTATTGATTGCGACTGCTCTGGYTTAGTGTGGCACGCAATAGACTTCATTGAACTATTCGCTCTCAGTAAGATCCATCTTACCACAAACATAGGAGATTTTGTTGATCATTGCTAAATAGACGAGCATGCGGTAAGGTCGAAAATTTTGTTCACTGAGAAGTGGATTCGGTGCTGTTCGCAGCAACTCGCACTGACGCCTAGAACGACTTGGTGTATTTTACGTCGAGATCTTAAATAGCAAGCGTACAAACTACAGCCTGTGCAAAAACTGAAACTGTTCGACCTTTCCTAGCGACAACGCTTCGCTCTATGGGCTCAAGAAGATCCGATGCTTTCGAGCCAAATTTAGGTGAGCGGCCCATTTCTGGCTCATTGGGTATGCGAACAAGCAAAATTGCCGCATCTGCACGCAGAAGAACTTGCAGAGTTTCTAAAGCTGCCATTTCATCAGAAAANAATAAAAAAAAAAATAATAAAAAAAAAT